CCTAATGCCAGATCATTCTGCCACTGGCCTGAGACAAAAATCAGGTCCAGCGTGTGTCCACCCGTGTGAGTGGGGGCCTGTATTAATTGGGTCAAGTCCAAGGCCGTCATGGAAGCCAAGAACTCCTGAGCTGCCGCTGACGTCTCCCCCACTGATGGCAGGTTGAAATCCCCCAAGACCATAAGTCTGGGGGTCCCAAGGCTTTAGATTAGCAGCACCAAGAGCCCTTCCAAACTTTGCCATCGAATACACATAAGGAAATGTACAGAAATCCACCTAAGTGTACTTATTTAGTTCAAATTTATATTTAATTTAAAAATGAATTTAATCAAATTTAGCTTTTTTTCCCCAGCACTGTCTCTATCCTGGACCTGACTGCAGTTTGAAACGTGACTGCCAAAATACTCAAGGCCAATTCGATAAAGATTCCATAAAGGGAGTACATTGCTGTTTGGTGAAACTTCACTAAAACTAAAGCTCTTGCAGCTCCTTATGTTGGATTCCTCAAGCCCGTGCCACATCTGTGAATATACTTCGACTCATGCACATAGGAGGACAAATGTGCTTCGGACCTGAGAAGCTAGAATTTAATTTCAGAATGGTGTGGAAAGAATTGTTACTGCCTTCTATATGTTCATATCAAGGTCAGCGATGGCTGCTGAACATCTGTGCCTTTGCTTCACAGTTTAGTGTAAAGTCAACACATCCAGTCATAGTAATATTGATTGCCAAACCACTCGATACATGCTACAACTGCTCCCTCATGACATAATTCCACCCAGAACTGCTACCGTGTTTCCCCGAAAATAAGACCTAGCCTTATATATTTTTGCCTCCAAAAGAGGCACTAAAACTTTCGGGGGATGTCTTATTTTTTCCCCAGACACTTGCCTCTCCTCATGGCGGTGGCAACAACTGGCCCACCCAGCAGGAATACGTGTGGCTGCTGGCCCACTTCTGCGGCTCTTGCAGCCGCTCGCGGCAAAAGGCCACGTAGCCCGCTGCACTGTCGCCACAAGGAGAGGCAGGTGGGAGAGGGGGTGGAGCTGCCCCAAGTGCCCCATAGGCACCCAAACACTTTTTGCCTGGGCGGAGAAATGACGGAGACTGGAAGCTTCGTCTGTTTGGAAATGGGGCGGTTGAAAACGGAGCGAATCCCTCGGTTTCCAACTGTCCCATTTGCAAACAGACGAAGATCCCATCTCCCTCTGGACAAAAGCAGTGTGCGGCGTGTTCGGATCGTCTGCTTCCCCCATGCCTCTGCCTCCACGCTGGGCTTACCTGCGCTGCTCCAAGGCGCTGGCAGGCTGCAGCTGCTGCCGGACACCCTTGGCCCCCGCGTGTTCACTGCTGCTTGTGCTGGCCATGCCCACCCACCCCCAGGCTTGTTTTGGGGTAGAGCTTATACTAGGCCCACCCCCCAAAATCAGGCTACGGCTTATTTTTGGGATGGGCCTTATTTTCGGGAAAGCATGGTATATCAATTTACAGACTGTAAACTGCAACTTCCTCAAAGATAATGGGTGTGTTTAAAATCATCTCCTTTAAAAGTTGGATAAGGGTCAAGCAGAATAATACTCTGCTTGCTTGATTGACATTCACACCATCAAAGTCTAAATACCCTGTATGGCAAATGTCTTCTGTGTCTTTCCGAACCAAGAGATACCAGGAGCCCCAGTCTGCACTCCTGAGAGTGGCAGAACAGCTCTTTGGGAATGATCAGAGGTATACATGTGCATGTAGCCCTCAACTTACAACCAGTGTAACATTACGAACAATGGTCCCTTAACAACCAAACTTTGACATGAAGATTACTTACTATCAGTTCTCAAAGTTATGACAGTCACTCCATCCTCTCAGTCATGTGACTGCGCTTCAGGGCTTAACAACTGGATCACATTTAGGACCACTTACAGTAGGAGTGTCAAACTGCCGGCCCATGGGCCGGATGTGTTATGCCGAAACCGTGCCCACCCTATTGCCAGCAATGGGAAAAAAGTCACGATACGTCGCGATACATCATGTGACGTTGCAAGTTTGACACCCCTTACAGTGTCCCGCAGTCATGTGATTGTGTTTTGCAACATTTTTTTTGTTTTTTTGGAAAAAATGCCCATCGAATAAAATGGGCTGGCACTTACAACCATGTGCTTTATTTAACAACCAGGGTGACTCACTTAAAGACCATCACATAAATTATTGCAAACCTGACACTGGTCGTGTGGTGCCCTGACTTATAATGGCAATGATTTATGATAAAAATTCTGATCCCATATGTGGTTGTAAGTCAAGGACTACCTTAGTTGTCTTCAATCTCTGTTGGTTGATCATCTCTGATACTCTATGTTCTTAACAGCAGACCAGCGACTCTTCTAACTTGCTACCTTTAACAATTACTGGATCCTCTCCAAAGATTAGGATGTTTATAAGGGACATGTTTTTTTCTACCCAAATCAGTTGAAGTGTCAGTTTTCACCAACTGATCAGTTAAACATGAATTAAACAGTAGTTTCTAAAATCATTTGCTTTGGGGAATTTAGGAACCTTATACAAATTGTTCAAAGAAATGCTGTTCATAACCTGCAATTATAGCAGGTTCAGCATAATATTCATCCCCATACACGAGCTCATTTTAAGAGGAATATTTCTAAATTACCACTTCACAAATGGCTATTTAATCAACGTCTAACAAGCATAATCCTAGCATAAAAATTCTTAAAATGCATTAATTAGTATACTCTTCTGGTAATATTGTGAATTTCTAAATTAAAATTCTTACTTGCACACAATGCATTGTCTGTGAGGCTGAAGAGCAGTGAACATTATTATCACAGAGTAGTTTCTTGGTGGTGCCTTTATGAGACGTCGAAATTTGTCCCCATTCAGTCGAATAACTGATCTTTTGCTAGTCCATTCCATCAACTGGCTTACTTTTTCTGAAAGCACCATCTAGGTAAGAAAGAAATTCTGCAATGTGAAATGCATGCCATTTTTCAGCCCCCTACATGATCACATCTTAAATGTTAATTTATTTCACTTAAATACACATCAGGGGTTATCATGCACAGTGCCAGCTCCCACTAATTTATCATGATGTGGTAAATCTGGAATACTACAGGATTACATGATTTTCTCTTCACATGAAATTCCACAATTTCCACCCTTTTTTCCCTTTCATTCTCAAGTTCATCTGCAAGCAAATTCACATCCTTAGCAAGATTGAAAGAAGCCCAATACATGAATATTCAATATTTTTAACCCTCTATGAAAAACCCTCTATAACCCTCTATGAAAAACAAGGTCTGCAAATTAAAAAGAATAAACCCAGGCAAGAAACTGAAGGGCTACGAGTTCTAGTCCTGCCTTAGGTATGAAAAACCAGCTGGGTGACTTTGGAACAGTCTCTCTCTCTCAGCCCAACCCACCTTGCAGGGTTGTGGTTGTGGAGAAAATAGGTGAAGGAGTATTAGCTACTGTATGTTCATCGCACTGAGTTATTTATAAAAATAATAAAGACAGAATTAAAAAAAAACCACATTGTCTAACCATGCTGTTGCATGCCCAGGGCTCCATCCTCCATTCCCCCCCCCAGCAACCACCCTCCGAGGGGGATTAGGCGGAGATCAACACCAGTGTTGCATTTGTCAACTCCGGATACCTCTTCTGCAAAGGCAGCCCCATCTTCCCTCGGCCTGTTCGGCAAGCGCAAGGCACGAAGGCCTCACTACAAACAGTCTGCGGGGCCCAGGCAAAGAAATGGCGGAACCCCGACCGGGGGGCGGACGTGGCGCTCCTCGGAAGCCCGGCCGGGGCGGGCGGCACATCCCGCGGCCCAGGGAGAAGCTTCGAGCGGCGTCCAGGACCGCGCTGGGAAGCTTTCCCTGCCGAGCCTCGGGCTGGATCGGCTCGCCTTCAGACGAGGCGGCCATGAAGGCCGAGGCAGGCACGGAGGAGCCGGGAGGGTCCAGCCCGCTTCCCGGCGAGGCTGCTCAGACGTCTGAAGCGCTTCTTCCCGCGCCGCGCTGCCCCTGGCCAGGCGGAGGGAAGAAGCGCGAGACCCGGCGCGGCTTGCAAAACGCGGCCGCCAACGGCCGGGAAGGGGCGCCGGGCTTCCGCGCGGCAGCCCTGCGGGCCTTGGCTCAAGCTCTTTGCGCATGCTCAGCGGAGCCCTCTCACCCGCGGCTGCCGCGCCCCTCACCTCTTTTTTCTTCTGCCCCTCCGCTCCGGAGCCGCCCCAGCCGACCAGCAGTAGCAGCCCGCCCAGCGCCAAGGCCCGCAGGAGCAGCAGCCGCGGCGCCGCCATGGCCGCCAGACTCTCTTCGCTCGGAGAGACGGCCGACGCCGGCAACCCGGCTACCGTTGGTCGGACGGGGAGTCGGACCAGCTTCTGATTGGTCAAGCTGCTATTCCGCCGCCTGCCATTGGTCCATGGCCTTTCCTGTTCCGCTCAGCCCCCGACCTTCTACCTTTGGGCGGGGGAGGGTCCAAGAGGCGCTCTGCAACGCTTGAGAAGGGGGCGATCTGGTGCGAGGTGATTGGAGGGCGGAGGCGGCGTTGCCGTCCAAATCGCTGTGGCCCCGCCTCCAGCTCTTTAGCGGGAAGGGCTGCGGCGGATGCCGGTGGGAGGAGGAAGCGAGTCCCGGCTGAGGGAGGGGGACGCCGCCTGAGGGCCAGAGGGCGGCCACATTCGAGAGTCCATTACCAAGCTTGATAAAATCGGCCTCTATTAAAATAAAGTTAAGAATAAAACTTCCCGTCAGCCTTCACCATTCTCCAAAATGAAGGTCTTGGAATTAGAGAAGCTTGTCAAAGGAATTGTCGAGGCAGAAAGTTAACTCTCTTAATCATAATTGTATAAAGTCTGTATTTGTGTATTGTTGACTCCCTTTTGCTGAAGTACTTCAATAAAAGTTCCTTGAACCACCTCTGGTGCCTGGTTCTGATTGGCATCTGCGCCAGCCTAAACCCAGTTTGCAGACAACAAAAATAGATGAAAGAATGAACAGTCTATAATACTAAAACTCTCGTTCCCATAATTTTTATTTGGGTGAACGGTGCAATATAGCAATGCAATAATTTTTGAACCAAAGTACCTCAAATGGGCTAACTTTCACAATTGCATCCAAAATCCGGGACCCATGAATCCTGAAGGAGTGAAATTCATCAAATGTTATAAAATGCTTTACGACACAAAAATTATGATAAAGCATTTGTATTGCATAATACAAAAGTCATAACTTTTTTGTGTTATACAGTTTAACCAGGGTTATTTTCAAGGCAGATATATCTCTGAATGCATCCAAACATTTCCTGTGAAGGAAGTACATTAGAAGTTCTGCCATGGTTGAAGGGACTGAGAATCTGGTAAGAAAATATCTCTGAAAGGGTAACCCACCAGGTTATGTGTTGTCTAATTGTATATTTAAAATGACAAAGTGAAAATAAACCCGGTAAAATGTTAACACTTTTTAATGTGCTTGGGAAGTTCTTTTTAAAACGTCTTTGCTACTTAAAATAACAATTTTGTGTAAATCCAACCAAATAAATGAACAGTGGGAATAGCATCATTCCACCACTGAATTTTAACAAAGTGATCTTATATATCATTAGGATATTCCACTGTGTTTAAAGGGCCATAGCCAAATCCCATGTAAGTGATTAATAGATACAAAATAATAAATGATAATTACATGAGAGCACCGTAATCCTTAAGTCCATTATTCACTATGGTATAGTTTTGCTGAAAACCAGAAGTGCCTATTTTTGGCAAAACTGTCATAAAATGCAGTCAGATGATTGTGGAACTCTGCAAACAGCCATAAAAGTGCTCAAAGTGGACTTAACTATCAGAACTTTGGATCCTACCCTTTTTCAGGTAGGTCATAACTTTGAACAAACAAGTACTGTAACTGTGAGAGGGATCTTGGAGTCCTAGTGGACAATTATTTAAATATGAGCCAGTCATGTGCAGTGGCAATCAAAAAAGTTAATGCAATCCCTGGTTACATAAACAGGCATAGAGTCAAGACCGCATGAAGTATTAGTACCACTTTATACAACCTTAGTAAAACCATATTTGGAATACTGCATCCAATTTTGGTCACCATATTATTAAAAAGATGTTGACACTTTGGAAAGAATGCAGAGAAGAGCAACTAAGATAATTAAGGACCTGGAGACTAAAACATATTAAGAACAGTTGCAGGGTTGGTTTTGTCTAGTCTAGTGAAAAGGATTAGAAAGTGACATAATGGCAATGTTCCAATATTTGAGGGGCTGCCACAAAGAAGAGGGAGTCAACTTATTCTCCAAAGCACCAGAGAGCAGGACAAGAAACAATGGATGGAAACTAATCAAGGAGAGAAGCAACCTGGAATTAACGAGAAACTTCCTAACAGTGAGGATAATTAACCAGTGGAACAGCTTGCCTTCAGATATCGTGGGCGCTCCATCACTGGAGGCTGGGCAGCTACTTGTCTGAAATGGTATTCATGGGGGGGGGGGACTTGGGCGGGGGGGGGGGGACTAAGACGACCTTCAAGACCTCTCTTCCAACTCTATTATTTTGTATTCTGTATTCCAATTACTAAGTGACAGTCACAGACCACTTTTATTACTTGACTGTTACTTGTGCTTGTATGATACTGTCAAAAGATTATTTGGGGTTCTGAGCCTGGACTGCAAGAACAAATTAAAATGAAATCGCAACATGCTGTTTGAAGGTGAAAAAAATTATTCTGGAGCATAAAGAGAGCTCTCATAGGTAGGTACAAATGGGGATAGACAGACTAGAAATAGGGAAGAAAGTATTTGTGGGAGTGTAGGGTATGAGTATCTCTGATGTTTAATTTGGTGAATGTGTAACTCCAGTGGGGAAAATATTTTAATTAACTTTTCTTCTTTGCAGATCTTTCTTTGTTGTATGAGTTAAGTTTGGGCAACTCATTTGTGGGTTCAAAGAAGCTTGTGTAAAGGACTTTCCCTGTTTGCTATTATTTGTGCAGGTTAATTTATTTAGCCAAGTCATTAATTACCAAAGGAAGAAATGGATTAGTGATCTTCGCAACATGGTATTCTAGTCTCGGTTATCTGTTAGTCATGTTAATGATCAAAAGGATGGTCAGAGACAGTACAGAAATAAAGTTGTTTTTGATATAATTTTTTTTTGCAATACAGTAATCACATTTTGTGAGAAGGGAGGCTGTACTGAATACATTTCCTAAATAAATGAATGCTACACAAACCAAGCCAGAATTGAAAAACGCTACTTTAGCATATTTTAAAAAATTGTGTCTATTAATTTCACAGAAGCGGTCAACTTGCTCAGGAGGCAGATTCTTCCCTGTCTGGACCGAGGCTGAGCGGCAGCCGGCGGGGTTCGGGCGCGCCAATCCCCCTTCAGGAGCGGCCGCGGCGCTCTTCCTCGGCGGCGGTCGGAGGGAACCGGAGAAGCGGCCCGGCAGCTCCCGGGCGAGGCGGTCTCGGGAGGGCGGCCTGGGGAAAGAAAGAAGCTTGCATTCATCCCGGGGCAGGGAGCGACGTCTCGGGAGAGGGGAAGCCCCGCCGGGCCTTGGGGCGCAGCGTCTTTCGCCTCTGGAACAGTTTATTTTGCGCTCTGCTGCCAAAAACGCTCTTTCCGCGGGGCGGCCTTTCCTCCGCGCCGCACCGCTTGCAGCGTCGGCGGCGTCTTCGCGGCCTCTCCGCTTGCAGTAGTACGGGAGGATCAGCGCTCCCCCCCTCCCCCCCGGCTGCCTCCC